ACCTTGCTGCGATATCCACTGCGAACCTGCACTACGCTTTCCTACTGTCTCCGAAATATTCACTGCCAACCTCTGGATTCTATACTCGAGGACGACCGTCATGAAAATGTCTAACATCTGTATGCTTTGGGTGTTTGATAGAATTGTTTATTACGCCTTATCAACCTTTTGCGGGTTATTTTAAAGCCAGAAAATATTTTGAGATTTTGAGCATCTTCCTTTGAGATAACAATGATTTACTGATACAAATCCTAATAATTAACCCATAGATGGGGGGAGAAGTGGATTCATACTTTTCCCAAGGTTAGTTGTGCGTAAGTGAATATAAAGAACTCGGCTCTCTAATTTCCAATTTCGATCCATTACACAGTCTCTGGTATTCCAAAGCGATCATCCATCTAGGTACTGACCAGGCTCAACGTTGTTTAACTTTGTCTGCATGCGTGGGCTACAACACTGTTCACTGGCCTCAGGCAGAAATGATAATCTCAGCCAGTACGTCGGCCTCTAGTAGTAAAGCTGATTTAATTTTTACTGAGTTTAGATAGCTCGATGCAAGGCCAGACAGCAGGGTATGTGGAAGGCAAGAAGACTGTGTTGCAGAAAGGTAAGCCGAAAATTGGCGTCAAAATCAGCGTTTCAAAACCTTATCTCTGAGATCAGGTATTTTAATTATTTGTATTGTTCGGATATCAGTGTATGAACTTTTGGGACTTATAAACTTAATGTCTCAGTAACCATTTTTATTGACGGTTACGGAGACATTTGGACCGTTAGAATTTATAGTTCCACGCCTCAGTTATCTCCCTTTAACACAACTCTCCAAGTTTTTGTTAACTTCCGCCGTGGTATTGAAGTCACAACTCTTTGAGTCAAGTCACTGGATCCACCCAACGCTTTTATTCACTGGTCTATGTGGCCTTGAGGACATTAGTGTATGAAATTTTGGGACTTATAAAGCTAATGTCTCAGTAATCATTTTTTTTTACCAGCGCTCATATTGCAATTTTTTTGTTATTATTGCCTTTCCCTATCACTCCGTATTGTGTTCATTCCTATGCTTAGCCAGCTTAGGAAATTTTTGTGGCTTAGCATATGTGATGATTCCTTAAGTTTTTTTTTCTGTTTTCCAATGATGTCCTCTGTCTATTATTTCAACCTCATCCCATCAGGGGGTGCAGTGATCTCCCTTTCCCTCCATATGTGGTCAGCTACGCCTAATTTTTCTATCTGAGTTCGAACACTGATACGCATGAGGATGACACTACTAACTTAACAGGCAATTAATTTAGAAGAGCAGAATATTACTTATTAGTTTCACAGCCTTCTTCTGTATACCGTTTCCCCGCAGGACGTAGACGATCATGACTCTCCACAGTTTCTTGTCCTTTGTAGCTCTTAATAAATGTTACCTTTTTGTTATTTCTCCTAAACTCTATTCCTCCATCCATTTATTGAAAGTCTCTAGATAGGTTATACGTTGGATTCCTCTGTCCCTCTTGCCTCATTCTGTCATCTGAGTACCAGATTTTCCAAGCCCTCTTTCCTCATTATGTGCCCTAGAAACTTCAACTGTCTCTTCCTGATTTTAAGTATAAGTTTCCTTTTTGTTTCCATTTTCCTTTAAAATTTCGTCGTTGACCATATAATCCGTCTATGGTATTCTCAGTATGCTTCTGTAGAACCACATTTCTGTTGTTTCAGTCTCTTCTTCATCTTTGAGAAGATTGTTCATCATTCACTAACATACTGGAGGAAAGATATCGCGTAATATTCAATAATATTTACTTTGTTTCTAACAAAGTTTTTCGATTTTTTGATATTCTGCTTAGCTTTTGGAATGCATCTTTGGCTATCCCAGCACGCCTTCGGATTTCAGTACCGCACTTCCCGTCCTCTGTTAAAACATTTCACAGATATTTAAATTTTTCTGCTTCTTTGATTTTCTGTATCTCTGATTTGCAGAAAGTTCAATAAACTGTTCAGAGTGCCAAAGCAAATGCTGCTGCTTCTAATCGTGGCAAACATTTGTACAGTGGCACTGATCCAAACCTGACTTTTTTCTTTTATTTTGGCTCTTCGCACGGAGGATTATAAATCAAAGAATATATTCTTTATTAGTCCGGTATGTTCTTTTCTGCTTTTCGTGAGTCTGTAATTCACCGTGGCTATGATGTGAATATCAGGTTTCGAATGCTCGAGGTGTTGATAGTAAAAAAAAAAATGTGATGATAGTCACGGTTAGATTAATGTCAGAAATGATATTACATTTATTTGGTTGTAGTTATTATAAACCCAAGCTGACAAGTACCGGAAGAGATCTATGTAATAAGAGATCTGTTTGGTGACCGAATTAGTAGATGTTTGGCATCCGCTTCCGTACATCGGTGTTCAAGTTGAAGTACAAGTAGTTTCAAAGTCTTCTCGGAAATTTTGGCGTAGTTCCACGGTTTAACTAGCAATTATCTTGAAAACTACCAAGTCTAGCTCAATAAAATTGAACAGTTTAGATGTTGAACAGCATAAGTTTATTATGGGACCGATTTCATAAGAGTTCAATATTCAGAGTGTCCCAAAATATTTGACATCATTTTAAAAGCAATTATCTTGAAAACTACCAAGTCTAGCTCAATAAAATGGAACAGTTTTTCTGTTGAACATCATAATTGTTCAATATGTGCACCGCCTGTAACACGGCACACGTCAAGTCAGTAGTTAAGCTCTTGCCAAACACGTTGTAGCATGTCTCCGGTAACATTATCCAGCACAGAAGTGATTCTCTGCTTGGGTTCATCAATGCTAGCAGGATGAGGAGAGACATAGACCAGTCTCTTCACATATCTTCATAAAAAGAAATCACACGGGACAGGTCCGGTGACCGCGGCAGTCATTTCATCAGAAAACCATCTTCATCACCACCACGCCTTTCCATCTCTCTGGCCAATTCTCATTGAGATAACAAAATTAAAACATCAAATATAAAATCTTGGTCTCTTTCTATACATTCTATGAAAAACTGAGATTATTTCAACAAGAATTGTCAAAATTATTGGCCTTCGAAATGATGTCAATTTTTTTTTGTGGTGGGACACCCTGTATATCTTTGTATAAATATTTGCATCATCCCCCGCGCATAAATAATTATATGTAAGCACAAACACAATTCAACAATCACATTGAGCAAACATATCTCAACAATATTTGAATCGTAGTTCCGTTCTTTATCAAAATAATCTTCACAATGCAGTGTTTCCAATTTTACCGCAGTTTTAACAGCAATTTCCGCTCGCTTTTCACAAAGTATACATTTACACTATTATGATGGTAACAATTGGTAAAATTTCGACAGTGTAAACGTTTATGTCAGATCACCAAACACTACACTAGAGTTTCCTTAATAAACCAACCCTAATGATTCAGTATTCTCGCACCCCTGGTTAAGAACCACTGGTTTAGCTCAATACTCTGGTAAAGCGATTGATAACGGACTGGTTTCTAATACTATTGGTAATGAGTTCGATCCTCCCTAGAAGACACATTCTGTGGTATTATCATAGACTGGGCTGACCGAGTTAATATTAACAAGTCTAACATTTCATTTGGGTATTTGTAAAACATCCTTTTCTCGTATGTTGCCAATCTCTGTTGAACCAGCGGCATTTTGAATAATCAAAAATGCATTTTTATTTATTTATCTCTCAATGTTAGACTTGTAGTTTCTGAATGTCATGACAAGATATATTTGTTGAATCCATTTATTATTTATTATTAAATAAAAGATAATATATAATTAATTTTAGAATGAATTTAATAATATATAATTAAGTGTATAATTAAATAAATAATAAATAATTAATGTGATATTATTCACTGATTATTCCAATACATTTATTATATCCAGAGGAGTGGTTTCTGTGTCTCCGACAAAATTTCAAGTGATAAGATAAATCATTGGAACTTTTGCTTATTCACTAATGTTGCTTTGTTTTTAATACTGATCACTTTTTCTACAGGCCTTGAACACGTTATACTCCAGTAATCTATTGGTTTATGTATTATGTTAGATCATAAACGATTGTTATCTATGAATTTCTCTCACTCACACTCTCTTTCTCGCTCTCTTTCTCTCTCTACCTATCCATCACACCCTCACTCACTCTACCTATCTATCATGAGACTTTTGATGGCCTAATTTTGAAGCTAATTTGACTGCAGTAAATGCATATATAGTTTGGTCAACGGCGTAACCAGGGCAGTACATACGCGAATTTTAAATCTCGTGTATAATGCCATCCCCTTAGAATTAGCTTCAAAATTAGATCTTCTGTCGCATTATACCGTGAGTATATATCTTCTGTCGCATTATACCGTGAATATATATATATATATATATATATATATATATATATATATATATATATATATATCGTCTTCCACAGACAGACTGTTCATCAGTGTGTCTAGACATCTGATCGCTTCAAGCCGGGATCGAAACCCGACCGATTTGGTATCGGTCGGAGATAGGATATCGATGCCCGACAGAAAGTCGAATTATCTGCGCATTCATTTTATCATAAATACGCCAGTGACCTAGAGAACTCAAGCCGTTCCGAATCATATCGATATACGCCTGAGGAAAACCGGAAGACACAACGGTCGAAACGTTGTGATAATAGTCCGAATATAAGAGACAATATAGAGACGAAACTGAGCAGATATTGGCTTTCTAGAAAAATATTTCAATGAGAAAGTGGGCTTTCCTTCAAAAGGGAAAATAGATCCTTGCTGATTTGTGAGTCTCATCGTAGTAAGCCGATGGTTTCTCCTACAATGGGGGACGTAGGTTCGATCTCTGTCGAAGAGCACGTTTTCTTCATTTAGATTTCTCGACTTTAAAAACCGAGTGACTTAATATTCACTGTTAAAATAAAAATGGGGCGTTTGTTTCAAATACGAGTATTCACTATAATAACGCGGTTGAAGTAATATATCGTGGAAGTATGTGTAATTATCTGTCGGTGTGGTCAATTAAAATCTCTCTCTCTCTCTCTCTCTCTTTCTCTCTATCTATCTATCTCTATCTGTATGTGCAGGTGGTGTAATGGATAGCGTCACGGAATGTGAAATTAGAAAGCCGAGTTCGAATTCCAGTCAAGTTCGTTGCATTCATTTACGCGCAAGTACTCTTGGGAAAGGTATGAATCTATCTCTTTTTTTCCCTCCCGTCAAATACGGGTTAAATAGCAACAAAGACGTGGTTTACGATCTGTCTCTTGAGATGGACAACACTGAATTCAAAACCTTAACAACCGATTTAGAATATCAACGATTGTTATAGTTATCAGCCAACCCGACAGCAATCATGTATAAGGTGTGTTTTTAAGGACATATATCTATTTGTGTGGTAGGTCATCTCGAGACGGTGTAATGGTTAGCAAGCTTGTCTCGCTAGAACAATTACGACTGGATAGTGAGTTCGATCCTCACTGGGTGCCCCCATACTCTTCGGCCTTGTGCCACAGCTAAGCTACGCTTGGAAAATCAATACCTATTTGCGTGATATCAGTGCGTGTCTGTGTAATTATCGACGAAATGACAGGTTGATCATATATATATTACAAATACTTTACTTTCTTCTTTTCTATCTATCTCAGTTTTTATATCTATCTACTTATCTATTTATCTTAAACTGTTCATGGGTACGAATTTATTTGTCTCGTATTTATGATTGTATTGTTATGTAAGTATATATTCATGCATTTATATTTGAAGCTTTGCTTTAATCCACACTTGTTTTATTGGAAGTGCAAAGACCTTTGCTGTTGCTGAATAGCTGAGTTTTTTCTTCGCGAATATTGAATATCACGGATGTAGTTTATTATCATACCCAGAACGCGGATGCAGTTTATCGTCGTACCCAGGACGGTTGTAGGTTGCTCTTCTGAGAACAATCGGAGCACTATCTAAAAGCGCTCACTCTTTCTGTCTCTGTAAGCCTCAATACATTTTCCTACTAGCCACCGTCTGTGATGCTTACTGAATAAGGTGGGGATACCCACCAAAACTAAATAATTTGGGTTAAATGAGTATGCTTTTATTTTTGTCAACTTTATCAACTTGTAGTAATAAGATACGTAGATGACACAGTACTGATAGTAGACACGGAAAAGAAACTACTAAATTGCCTACAGAAGGTAGCGACGGAGAGTGAGAAGAAAGGACTAAGCCTAAACTACAAGAAGACGGAACGCATGGTCATCAGTAAGAGGATGAGCCCGAAATACGAGTTGCAGGTCTAGAACACTAGAATCAAGCAGACGTGGAAGTTTAAATATCTGGGAAGCTTTTTGACAGAGGACGGTAAGTGCGATAGGCGAGATCTGTAGACGTATTGGGATGGCCAAAGGCGCATTCCAAAAGCTGGGCAGAGTATTGCGAGACATTAGCATTTCTTTTGGTAACAAAGACACGAATACTGAGCTGTTATGTGACATCTGTCATTCTTTACGGCAACGAATGCTGGACAATTTCCTCAAGGATGAAGAAGAGACTCGAGGCGACGATGATGTAGTTCTAGCTGAGGATTTCGTGGCCCGAGTGTGTGAGCAACGATGACGTCTTGGATAGGATGTAGACAAGGAGGAGGATCATGCTTAACATCAGGAAGAGGCAGATAAAGTATCTGAGACACATAATGAGGAAAGAGGGCCTTGAGAATCGGATACTCACGGGTCGAATAGAGGGAGACAAGGGAAAGCAACTCCTGATATTCCTGGCGAGCTTGAGCAAGTGGATGACAGAATGTGGTCTTGGGAAGGAACCTGTTGAAAGCGGTAAAGGATAGAGGGGGGTGAAGAGCTATGATTGCCCACACCCTGAAAGGACATGGCACATAAAAAGAAAGTACAAAGTATCTTTTGCATCGATTTTAGAAGTTTTTTTTCTATTTTTAAATCTTACATTCTGATTCACTCTGAATTAAAAACAAAAACTCGCGTAACAACAAATACTATTAAACGCTGTCATTTTTGCTGCATTTTTAAATAATTTCACCAGAAGCAAACCAATAAAGCCAATAACATGCAAGGGATTACTGAGAGTGAAGGAAACATTATTGAGTAAAAAGGACAATAAATAACTGGATTCAAGAAGATAGATGAGTGACGTTAAAATTAAATTGTTGAAGATCTTAGTTCACAGAAAAACAATAAGCTTGAAAAGAGTTTTACAGGCGAGAAGTGCGAGAGAAAAGACTATCAGAACTTAACAATGACAAAAATAAAATGATGAGACCTAGCTGCCAATCTAGTACTACGCTTACATTCACGAATTCGAGGAATCAATTCGAGCTTATCAGAACAACTGCCATGAATATATGGTGATCTTCTAAGGCCGGCTTAGATGTGGCACAAGGCTGAAAGTGTGACGCACCCAGTGAGGATCGAACTCACTACTCAGTCGTAACTGATCTGGCAAGATAAGCTTTCTAACCATTACACCACGTCGAGGTGCTCCAATGCCATGAATATATATATATATATATATATATATATATATATATATATATATATATATATATATATATATATATATATATATATATATATATATATATATATATATATATATATATATATATATATATATATATATATATAGAGAGAGAGAGAGAGAGAGAGAGGGGACAAGGACAAAGACGGTTGGTTAACAGTCAAAGGTTACTTAGGACAACAAAAGACAAGAAGTTGTGGAGAGCCATGATCCCCACGTCCTACACGGTACATAAATGTTAATTGTTGTTTTCATGGTAATATATCAATCGGCTATCACATATATTAAAAGATCTTGAAGGCTCTAAATGAATGAGTTAATTTCAACCTGGAGATGATATGAACTCTCAAAGGGGACAGTAAGTGTTCATGCGAATTATAGAGGCGATTTTCTTTTAGCAAGATGATTAAACCCTGATTGGAACAACCCTCGAAATTTTATATAGGTGTTTGTTTATTTTATTTCAATTTTTAGATATTATTTACTATTGCAATAGGTGCATGGACTAAAATCCTGTCACCCAAAGTTCGGTAGCTTCCATTATCTAAACCGGAAACCAGCGGTTGTATGTTTCTGCCACAGCTTATTGTTGGTGCCATGCAAGGCAATACAATCACTAAAATACAAAGTGTTACAGGTGGAGGAAGAATTTTTTTTTTTTTAAGAATTCAACCTCAAGCTAGGCGGGAAGCCCCTAGCACGCAAGGTGTTACAGAGATTTGGATCGAGAGCAAAAGAAGAGCGATAGAAGAAAGGATGAAGAGAAGTTTAGAGGATAGATCAGGACATCTGGAGACGTTGATTGACATTACATTTGAATAGTTGGAGATTATAGCTATCAGGGAAACAGGAAAAGGAGAGGGAGTTTCACAGGCGAGAAGTGCGAGACATGAAGCTTTTGGAGTAGAAGAGACGGCTAAATTTAACAATGAAAGGTTGAAAGCGAGATGCCAGCCTAGTTGAACGCTTAAATTCATGAAGTCTAGGAACCAGCGAAAGCAGCTCATCGGAGCAGTTACCGTGAAATTATTGGTAAAAAAAAGACAGAGTATGGCGGCGGCACGTCCGGGAGAGCGCGACTGCAGACGAGATGCCAGATCAGGGCCAATTACATGGCATATCCGTCTCTGGATCTTATCAAGGACATTGAGACAAACAGAAAGGGCTCCAGACCATATATGGCAGCAATACTCCATGCAAGGGCGAATGGTTGATTTGTAGATTTGAAGGATTGACTCCGACGAGAAAAATTTCCTGGCGTGGCACAGGGAGCCGACTTTCCTAGCGGAGGACGAAGCTATTGACTCAATGTATTCGTTCCATCTCAGGTCAGCAGACAATGTGATACCGAGCAGTCATAAAGAGGTTCTCTCGTGGAGTTGAGCGTCAGACATTCTAATAGGAGGCAGGGATGGTTCTCTCTGGTGAGCAATAGAGATCAGTTATGTTTTTTGAGGTATTAAAGTTAATCAGTCAATTCCTGCCCCAGTCCACAACCGATTGGAAGTCCTTTTCGAGACAAACGGCCAGGTTAGTTTTGTCGGCGACACTAGATTTGTTTTTGAGGCAGGAGTAAATAGTAGGGTCGACCGCGTAGATGGTATTTATCAATCCACCCACGGGGAACGAATGTGGCACAAGGCCTTTTTTAATGTGGGTATCTCTGAGCCCGTAGGCCCAGCCAAAAATAAATAACCATCCAAACCCGCCGAGGCGGTCCAGTTCCGTCAACCTCCCCCAACGAAACCCCACCCTTCGGCGGAGCTTCGTCCGGGTTCCTCTCTGCAAGCAGAGAGTTCGACAGACACTCGACCCGGCAGCTCACAAAGCGCAGATACTACACTTTGATCCTAGCCACCGGGCCGAGCGGGTATTCTTTTTATCGACCGCGTAGATGCCTACTTGGTAACCTATGACATCAGGAAGATCGTTAATGAAGATAAGGAACAGAGCAGGGCCAACGATAGAACCTTGGGGAACACCTGCGTTAGGGAACAGAAACATTAATAATGAACGAGAAGAGGAAAGAGTAATCAGGAGGAAAGTAGATAGCGATTGACATTGCATTTAAATTTTTGCAGATTAAAGTTGTCTGGAAAGCATGGAGCCGGGAGGAAGTTCCACAAGTACGAGAAAAGAAACTGTTAGCATAGAATTTACGGTTACATCTCGCCAGTTCAGATGTAAATTGATGAGATCTCGATGTCATCATGTTATAATGTAAACAAAACGTAACATTAATTTTGTTGCAATAACTGTGCTCCATTTACCAGTGCAATTTTAACATGGATATGTAGGATGCACCAGTTTATAAAAAATATCTGAAAAGGAAGGACTGCAGAAGAAAAGGTTAAGAATTACTTCAAGATGTAAGAAAATCATAGGATTACACATTGGCATTTTCCCACTGGGATATATAGATTCTGCATCAACATTTTAAAATCCAGCTCTTCCTCAAAATTCACTGGCACAGTAAGTGATACCACCTAGTGTTTCCCAGTTACATATCTTTTCACATAAAAAGAAAATATATTGATTTTTTTTTATTTCTCTATCTTCTTTTCTCTCTCTATCTCTTTTACAATAATTTCTTCTTCTCTTTTAATTCTTTCTTTTCCCATTGTATTTTCTTCCTCTTCCTCCTCATTCTTTTCTATGTTTTCCTTTCTTCTAGTAATCGTTCCTCCTCTCCTCTCCTCCCCTTCCTCCCCTTCCTCCTCCTCCTTCTCCTCCTCTTCTTCTTCTTCTTCATCTTCTTCTTCTCTGTTGAGGTAGCCCAATGTAGCAGTAAGTTCTACGCTAAAAGTTTCTTTTCTCGTTATTCTTTTCCGACTCCATGCTTTCCAGCCAACTGTAATCTGCAAAAAATTAAATGCAATGTCAGTCACTATCTACTGTCCTCCTGATTACTCTTTTCTCTCTCTGCTCATTCATTTTCTGTCCCCAATTCTTCCACAGCATGTATCCCTTTGCTTTTTAGTGGCTTTACTGCCTTGCATGGGGTGATACCGATATCTTCTTCTTCTTCTTCTTCTTCTTCTTTATTTCTTTTCTTTCTTTTTTTTTTTCTTCTTTCTTTTTATTCATGCTTCGCCTCCAACGTCACTTCACATTCCTTCTTTTCCCCTTTCTTGCCCCCACCGCCACTTCTCTCATTCTGGCCAAATTCAACGACTTTTCTTCCACCACAATCACCACGTCAATCTACTCTGTGTTCTCCACCCACCACCACCATCACCATTCTTCGTAACTCAGTGTCGAAGCGAAGGAACATTCTATTCCTCTATTGTGTCTACTCTTCTGGCGCCGCCCAATCAGACAGACAAAATCAGTTACACCGAAAACTTCTCGTTCCACCTCCCCACCAGTTTTCAAGTCCTCCCGAGCCAACCATCCCCGACCGGGCATCAGAAAAGACGAAGATAAGTCTGCGGCCAATAGATTTAATTATATTTCTTGGCAAAATCCGGAATAGAACCATATGCAGACATGCAAAACTCACCGATATCTCCGACATGTACAAAGAAGACTTTGATCGGCGTCTATTTGCATCGTTAAAACTATCGGCAAATCGGGCGGAAGGCAGATGCAACCACAAACATTTTGGAACGCAAGCGGCTTCACTGAATTTCGAGTTTACTCGAATAGTCGTTCTGTGCCTAGAATGTCAGTCTATTAACCACAACGTCTATGGTTCAAACCGAAGTACCAGTCTGTTGTAAATTGTCAAAATTGTATATTTAAATAATTTAAACCGCTCGAATAATATAAATGCGAATTTTTTCTTTTTGCTTATGTTGTAGTAGTAGTAGTAGTAGTAGTAGTAATTATAAAAGACCGCAAGAAGAGAACGTACTTTCTTAGTGATATGGTAGTCCATGCAGATTGTAATGTATCTTCGAAGATCTTCAAAAAACTATCAAAATACAAGGATCTTGAACTGGAAATCTCAAAAATGTGACACATGAGGACATCAATAATTTCATTTGGAGCCTTCGGATTGATTGAAAAAAGTTCCGATTGAAGGAATTCCTGGTAGCCATGCCTTAACGAAATATTAAAAAAAAATGTACTCACAAGTACAGCTAACACATTACGAAGAGCTTTATCTCTATAAAATGTGTGGGATATTTGTTTTTGTGTATGTTTTTACAACAAAAAATTATCAGTGGAAAATGTCATGAGGCCATTTCTGACCTTAAGTCTCTGGTTGGGACCCTGAAAGATATATAAAAGATATACAAAAGGTATGGTATACAAAAGAAATTCAAGGAAATAATAATAATAATAATGATAATAATAATAATAATAATAATAATAATAATAAACCTATCATTCCGTAAAATCTTAGTATTTAACCTATCACTTTTTAAAATCTTAGCTCTTTCTACCTAATCTACTTTGCTGGTTAATAGTAGTTTAATTAGGGCTGACGGATTTAAAATGTTAAATAACCTCCACTTTCTAAAAAAAAAAATGAATTCCATGCGCTAATGAATTAAATAGTTTCGGCATTTTAGCTTAGTAGGAGTTAATTAAACGAAAAGAAAGTATGAAACTTAGCAATTCTTAAATCCAGAGTTTGGCCGCCAAATTGTGTCCTATGGCGCATGACATAAACTGAGAAATACGGACGTAACATATACTTCATTAGAAATACTAGACAAGAACAAAATTCATTTTCTATGACTTGTAAATCCGAAATATACGTCGCTGTATTACTGGCACCTACTCATAGTATTCAATCTATTTAACTCCCTATCCTATCTTCTCTTCCCCACCGCACACTTCTCTCTCTCTCTCTCTCTCTCTCTCTCTCTCTCTCTCATACACACACACACACTCTCTCTCTCCCTCCCTCTCTCTCTCTCTCATACACACACACACTCTCTCTCCCTCCCTCTCTCTCTCTATCATACACACACACACTCTCTCTCTCCCTCCCTCTCTCCCTCTCTCCTTCTCTCTCTTTGCACTATTGCCTTGTCATCCTCATTTGTATCGACTTACACGCGTAAATATGCATGCAGTGAATGTTTAATACACACGGATAGATATAATTATTTTTATCGACGTATATCAAGTTCTGGAACACAGATAGATAGATATATAGATAGATAGATAGATAGATAGATAGATAGATAGATAGATAGATAGATAGATACATAGATAGATGATGATAGATAGATAGATATAGATAGATAGAACAGACTGTGATATAGATAGATATGATAGATAGATAGATAATAATGAACAGACTGTGATAGATAGATAGATAGATAGATAGATAGATAGATAGATAGATAGATAATGAACAGACTGTGATAGATCGATAGATAGATAGATAGATAGATAGATAGATAGATAGATAGATAGATAGATAGATAGATAGATAGATAGATGGCAATTAGGAAATCTTTTATTTTGACATATTTTTCGATGAATCAGAAAATTAATTTTATTTCGTGAGAGTAAAATTTACATTACTGAAGAAATACATGAAACGTTTGATTTTAACTTTTAACTAATTAATAATGTTATACTATAAACAGTTATATTATAAGCTGTTCTAGTCATCAGATGATCATAGTGGCATCTGATGTGTTAACACAATAATTATTAGTATGTTATACTATAAACATTTATATTATAAGCTGTTCTAGTCATCAGATGATCATAGTGGCATCTGATGTGTTAACACAATAATTATTAGTATGTTATACTATAAACATTTATATTATAAGCTGTTCTAGTCATCAGATGATCATAGTGGCATCTGATGTGTTAACACAATAATGATGTCTGTTTTGATTATCTAATGATGAGAAGCACTACCTGGTTGAGTCATGTCATAGCGTAGTTCAAACCTTATGTACGCATAATTGTAGTAGAGAAACTTAAACCAACTGGGAGAAGACGCTATATAGATGTTTGCCAGTAGAGATAAAAGACTTCGTATGTGCGCGCGATGAGAGGTGTCTATGAAGAGAGTGAGCAGCAAAAGTTCTTTTTCTTCTGTCTTCTATTGGAACTGGATCAAGTGAAAAAAGCAGCTCTCACCGGACAAAACAGCCAAAGTTAAATAAGGTTTAATTAAACTAACCTGAATAAAAGCTAATGTAATTACATACAGACGGAAAGACCATAGCACAGAAACTTGCCACCCTGGCTGTGGTTTCTTTACATACTTCTAAAACCGCTGCTAACCACCACGCTTTGGACTGTCCCTCGGCGTGTGGGTGAAGGTAAACATATCATTCCAGGCAAACTTTTGATTTTTTTTTACTACATAGTATTTGTTCAAATATACATCAATAAATAGCCAAATGTTGAAATTGAAAAGAAGAAGAAAAAAGAACAGATATCTCGAATTAGCCAATAACATTCATTGTTACATTTGATAGATAGATAGATAGATAGATAGATAGATAGATAGATAGATAGATAGATAGATAGATAGATAGATTTTTAAGTAATGTTTCCTGGTACATTGCTGGGGCAATTTAATTCTTAATTAAATCATAAAACAAAGAAATAAAGAATTTTTATTTCTATAAGTTCAAAGCATCAAAAAGAAACAGGAAATTGGTTTTATTTCCACCCTCATTAAAAACATCTTTTCAGAATCGTTAGTTAAATAAATTGGGCATTCATCAAAGATCTATTGAATTGCTAGGAAAACTAGGAGCAAGCCGCCTTCGTCTTGATAGAAAATGAATTGATTGAATACACAGAAACAGTAAGAAGCGTAAGACAAGAGGGCGTCTTCTCACCGGATTTATTTAACCTTCACAATCCTGAGAGAATTAAAACTCCTACCATGATTTATTATTATCGGGTACAATCATAATAATATAATGTACGTAGATCGCACCGTGTTGATGGCAGGCACAGAAATAAAAATTACAAGGACCCCTAGACAAGATAGTAAAGGAAAGCGGGAATAAAGGACTGTTCATTAATTTTAAGATGACAGGCTGTACTTTCACCAGGAAAGGGAACAGCCCAAGATGCGAGCTACGAATTGAAGATGTCAAAATCAACTAAGTACAGACAAATAGGAACGATGTTTTAACATATAATGGAAAACATGACACAGAAATCCGAAAGCGGACTGAAATATCGAAAAATGTTTCCAAAAACAAAACAAAACATGAAGGATTGGTAAGATTTTTCCAAAAGCAAAACAAAATATTAAGGAATGGTAAAATTTTTCTAAAAACTAAACAAAATATTAAGAAACGGTAAGATTTCGCTAGAAACACAGAAAAAGATTGCTGAACGACTATGTAAAAATTATTCCTCCGATTTGGCAAGGAATGTTGAACAATTTCCTCACAGATGAAGATAAAACTTGAATCAACAAAGACGTAGAAGGATGCTGGAAATACTAAGACAGAGCATGTGAGCAACGAGGCTGTTTAGGAAAAATCGAAACAAAAAGAACGATTATACTTAGAATGAAAAAGAGTTAAGTTTTTTTTTTTTGGGGGCACATAATAAAGAAAAGGAGGCTAGGAGAATTTAACACTCACAATGAAAGCGAGAAGGAGAGAAAGAGAGAGAGAGAGAACGAGTAACCCACCAAACGAGTTCTTATCAAATGGATGGCAGAACAGAGACTGGAAGGGATAGAAAGGAGATAAACATTACTTATAACTAGGAATGATAGGAAGTTGAGGAGAGACATGATCTCTGACGCCTTGAAGGGACACGGTGCATAAAAGAAGTGAATTCAACTCCTTATCCGACAACATGTCGATCTCTCCATTTGTTTATTTAACGTTAAGAATGTTTTCTTTTTATTTCTCTCTTCATTCCCACACATCAAAACACAGACTGAGGGCCATTTGTCAATTCTTGACACATTATATATAAGTTCCTCAGAAAATAATATCGTATATTTGGAAAAAAAGAATTTTAATAAAAACATCTATATTATAGCAGTAATGGTGGAGTAATGGATAGCGGCTCGGATTGAGGAATCGGAGTGCCGAGTTCGAATTCCAGTCGGATCCATTACATTCACTTACGTGCTAATACGTTAAGAATCCTCTTAAATAAATTAAATAATCTTTGGGTAAATAGCAGGACAGGTTCTATAGCCTTGGATGGCAAGTGGTCTACCGCAAAAAGAAAAGGCAACCTACTGCGGGAAAAATCTTCCTCGTCAGTCATGTATCGAAAGATACATGATCGCTTAAGCGTGTATCATGCATGGCATATAACTGACTGTTTATAACAAACGTAATATTTTGGCAGATTATAACCATCGCTGACAATACTTTAATTTAATATCCACATTTAAATTTGATTTAATATTCTTTCGGTCTTAATTTATAGAATGAGAAATTATCGCTCTTTACACTACTCGCATGTGGACTATTGTCCTCATTCTGTTGTTATTATCACGACATTTCGACTGTCGTGCCTTCCAGCTTTCATCAGGAGCCTGTCAATTCGAGTTCAATACGGGACCTTGTAGTTTCCTTTCTGTGTCTGCACTCAAAAAAATCCTCAATAGCACATGCTCAATAATGGCTAATAGATTAGCCGAATGCGCTAAGACCCCAAAATCACGTGGACAGTCTTTACACACCCTATGCCGATGAAATCTCTTGTACGCTAGCAAGAAAAAAAAAATTATATATATAAATTCCTGTTGAACAATGACAGACCCCAACTGAAAGTTTTATATGTTTTAACACAATCGTCAGGTAGTTGATAACAGTTTTTGTTTTGTTTTTTGTTTTTGCAAAAATGTGTATTTTATACCCACTCAGCAAGTTCAAGATGTTGCCACGAGGGTAGCTGAGGTGTACATAGTATACACACACCAACCAAACTGGCCGAGGTGGTGGTGGGGATGACCCTATGACCAAATGACCAAACTGGAAATGCTGAAAAATCACTATTACTTAGGTATTAAAAACCAAACACCAGTGGAAAAAAATCAAAAGCGTGCATTGAAAGTAAAAGAAACAGCAGGGCCTCACACATGCATATATATATATAAAAATATATTTTTTCGCAGCTGTTCAGCGTGGCGAGACGTCCGGTTGCCTGTAGCTAGGATCGAAAACCCGCAAAATTGGTATTAGTCGGAAATTCTACTACTAAGCAATCGGCGCACGGCAGGTGAATTTTAGCGTATTTATTTTTAGATAAACACACAGTAACTGAGAGGACTCGATTCGCTTTACCGAAGAGTCTTGCATAGGCATCATATCTTAATTCAAGCATGTTTGGTTGAATAATCTAGACATGTTATGTCGCTTTAATTTTATTTGAATCCTATCAAATTCAGGGATTAATTTCTTAATGTTGTTATTAAACTCATTAAGGAAGGCGCCGTAGTTTTCTTTTATTTTCTCAAGTATTTTCAATCTCATCCAAGAACATCTTCAGGGGTGAATTGCTAAGACATTAATACTTTTGCCTTAGCACACACACATATATATATATATATATATATATATATATATATATATATATATATATATATATATATATATGAAAAATAGAGTATCGACAAAAAAATTCGATCAACTAGTGTGTTTGTTGAGAGATAATGCTTTTAAGGCAAGCAGCCTTTGTAAGAAAAAGTGCTCAATATTAAGGAATAGAGCAAAACAAATAAAGGTTTTTAGAGTTCTGGTATCCGTTCGTCAAGGTATTTCATAGTATAACTGTCTCTCCCACTCTCTCACTTTCAGTCACCCTCTTTCTCTCTCTAAATTAAAAATGGGGCGTCTATCCCAGCTACGAGTATCCACTGTAATAAAATTTGACGTAATAATAATATTGAATGAAAAATAAACCCAAGAATTCTTTAGAAACACACACACACACACACACACACACACACATATATATATATATATATATATATATATATATTATGCAATGTTACATTAGAACATGCATATACCCACTACAAAACTGTGCATCTTGTTCCAACTTTAAAAAAATACATTTTTAACGTTTCATCAGGTGGTGAATCATGATGTGATGAAACGTTAAAAAAGATTTTTTAACGTTGAAACAAGATGTACAGTTTTGTAGTGAATATGTGCATGTTCTAATGTAACACTGCATAATAAATAAATATATAGGGCTCTACTTTTGTATTGAGTTCCGTTTTAAATTAATGTTTTGAACGCTGAAATATTAATCTTCGTTAATTTGTATATATATATATATATATATATATATATATATATATAAATTCTCAATGATGTACACATTTTTAGGAAATTCGAACAGCTTGGATGCGAAAGCATTCCGGAAAAACAAACTTAAATTATTGAATACATAGTTAAAGAAATTATTTCGAAAGAGACGGTGGAAACGAGGTGGAATTTATGTCTTCCGTTATGCATGTCGTGTCAATGATAAAAAAAAATTATTAATAATAATATCAAACCTATTTGTAAATCGGTAATTTATCACTGCCTTCTAAATCTGAAAAAAAAACCTGGCCTTGAATGAATATAATCGCGCCAAAAATTATCTTTATTAAGAGAAGGATTACACATTACTCCAAAGCTCTCGTTCGTTCTAAATTAAATTAAAAATTAAAAATAAACTTGTATTGATTGGTCTAATGCAGCACGTGATGTTTATATATCTATTTACTGAACTGGACACATTTTTGTGTGTGTTGATCTAAAACTACTGCGTTTTAAATCAACGCGCCAATCATTCTATATGGCTTCTTTCAACATCTGTTAAAATTAGATTCCTGTTCATTGCCGCACTGCCGACATTTTTACTAAATGCTTAAGAACTCATAACTACAAAAATGTCTTCCATTCATGACTTAATCAAAAACAAGTGTACAATACAAACAATCGCCTAAGTATCAAATGACTGCTTGTTGAATAGGTTCACTTAGCATTCACGTAAAATTCGGCAAATCCTCTTTCAGAAAGTATTCTAACTATTCACATAATCACAGTAAAACTATGCGTAAGTTCACGATGGGAAGTGTTATCCTTTTATCCGCGGCTAGAATGTTCCAGATACTCTGGCGGATGGCTGTAACCGCGGATGGAACTGAACAAGGCCACTCGAATAGAGGTTTACGTTAAGGGGTAGTTTATACTGATAGGAGGGGAAGATAACGGTTAAATCTAGACTTGAATGGGTTAAGATTGTAGTAATCAGGGAAAAATCCTGAGTTGTAGTGGTTTGCCGGAAGAAGCTGTTTGAATGGAACTTACTATGGAATACGGGGGAAATGTGGGTGGTTTGCTACAATGTAAGTGGCATGTAAGTGGGTCCTGGTCGTGAAGGTTAGACCTAGAGGAAACGAGGAATATGGTTCGTCTGAGCACTTTCCACAAGAGTAGCGATAGAGCAGTGAGAGACTCACCACATCCCGCCTGTGAGAGACAGAGGTTGGAGGGTGGAAAATAATTCTTCTCCAACAAGGACTCGGATACGCTTTTCAACTCTATCAAGACTGGAAAGCGAGGTCTGGGCAGGT